ACTTCCGGCATTGACCGTTGACAACTAAACTTGCAATTAAATATAAATAACCTAGCATGCTATGTTAATTGTCTGATGGTTGTTGTGTACAAATTTTTATTTTTACCGAGTACCAAATCGAAAAATTCATTCCCCGGGTCGATCTCACGAGGAAGGCGGTTCGGATTTCAGTTTTGGTATCAATCACACATAAAAAGAAAATAAATCCAAAACATACTAATCAAATAGGGGATAGAGTAATTACCAACTAAGAAATATCATAAAAATAATAATCTACCTAAGAAATACGAACGAAACAATGAAAAAGAAGCTAGGGAGTCGGGGATAATTAATTCAAGTTCTAGCAAAACCGGGCAATCAATTGTTCGGTTCGAGTTCGTTTTTACTCGAAATTGAGTTCCGTTTTTTTCTACGCGCCGCTAATGAACCCCTCTATCTAACTATGCAAACACATCAAATATTTTCTTCAAAACCTGTCCTCTCGGAGCTTCTTACCTGCACACCAAAAACGAAAACAAAACCAAAAAACACCAGAAAACAAACGGAACACACCAAGACACTCAAAATAACGCAAAACATGCAATAAATGACAAAACGGACTAAAAACTAACTAAAAGACCTAATATAGGAAAAAAGAAAGAACAAATGACAACGAAAAACGCAACAAAAATGGGACAAACAGAGATGGTACGGACGGAACATACTAATCAAATAGGGGATAGAGTAATTACCAACTAAGAAATATCATAAAAATAATAATCTACCTAAGAAGTACGAACGAAACAATAAAAAAGAAGCTAGGGAGTCGGGGATAATTAATTAAAGTTCTAGCAAAACCGGGCAATCAATTGTTCGGTTCGAGTTTGTTTTTACTCAGAATTGAGTTCCCTTTTTTTCTACGCGTCGCTAATGAACCCCTCTATCTAACTATGCAAACACATCAAATATTTTCTTGAAAACCTGTCCTCTCGGAGCTTCTTACCTGCACACCAGAAACGAAAACAAAACCA